TTTTATGTGTTATGGTTGGATGGCCTTTCGGTAAATTATAGTCAGTTATTTCAACTTGTTATGTGCCTGGTTCTTTCCCCGATTGGCCAATGTTTTATGTGTTATGGTTGGATAGCCTTTGGGTAAATAATGGTCTGTTTTGTCTACCTGCCATATGTACTGGTTCTTCTCCTGGTTGGCTAATGTTTTCTGTGTTATGTTTTGATGGCCTATGGGTAACATTTTGGTCAGTTATTTCTACCTGCCATGTGTACTGGTTCTTTCTCGAACTGGCCAATGTTTTATATGTTATGGTTGAATGGCCGTTTGGGTAAATTGTGGTCAGTTATTTCTAGCTGCCTTGTGTACTGGTCTTTCCCGGATTGGCCAATGTTTTATATGTTTTGGTTGAATGGCGTTTGGGTAAATTGTGGTCAGTTATTTCTACCTGCTATATGTACTAGTATTTTCCCCGATTGCAATGTTTTATGTGTTATGGTTGGATGGCATTTGGATAATTGTGGTCAGTTATTGCTACCTGCCACGTGTACTGGTTCTTTCATTGATTGGCCAATGTTTTATGTGTTACGGTTGGATGGCCTTTGGGTGAATTTTGGTCAGGTAATTCTACCTGCCTTGTGTACTGTTTTTTTCGTTGATTGTTTTATATGTTATGTTTGGATGGCTTTTGGGTAAATTTTGGTCAGTTATTTTTAGCTGCCTTGTGTACTGGTTCTTTCATTGATTGGCCAATATTTTATGTGTTATGTTTCGATGGCCTTTGGGTAAATTATGGTCTGCTATTTCTACTTGCCATGTGTACTCGTTCTTTCCTCGATTGGCCAATGTTTTAGTACATGTGTTTCTATTTGGTTCATTTTATATATGATTTATTCCTCACCACACTGAATCACTTTGTCTAATCATGTGTAATGTTATAACATTACAAAGCTCAATGTATGATGCAATGCACTTGGTAATACTTGATATTGCAGAGGTTGGTGGCAGGAGTTGGTGACCCACAACGAAGCAGATTGTCCATTATGTCGCAGCACCTTTGTAAAGTTAAGCATGCATTTACAATACCTGGAACAGCATTTGTGCCAAAACCAGATGTAAGTCTTCTTAATTGAATAAGTATTAATGTACACCATAAACAAATGTCAAAACATTGTGATCTCTAGTTACTAAGTGTTTATGTAGTATGAGGTTAGTAATGTATAATATCAAAAAATAGGCTGTTTAACTGAACATGAAAGCCATCAAAATAGATTCACATGTAAAGGCAAGTGCAGTAACATTTGGAAATAAACTATAAATTCATGGCCACATGCTACTTTTGTGTAATGTTTGTAGAAAGGAGTATTACAATCTTTAAAATAGCCATGTCAGATGTAGTCAGAAAGGGAGACTTGTATTTTGGGTTTGGGTTTGTGTGTAGTTTGTTTGTGGTTTGCATTTTTTGCATATATTTAATCTGGTGAAAAGGCAAAATATATTTCCTATGTATCTCAAATTATTTTTTGTTTCAATTAAATTTCATTCATCCTTCCCCCCTTTGTGTCCTCATATGGATGAAATCGGGACATCATTGACATGTTGTCTGTTATTATGTTTTCTTTTACTGTACTGAAACAAATTGTAGTTTAGTCCACTTGGTGTAATTTGTACACAATCCTGTGACACTCAACATCATTGAACAAACCTTCAAGTTGTCACTTGTAATCAGACACAAGAAACGAATTAATGGTCTTTTTGAAGTAACAACCTAGAATCTCCATGGTTTTATGATACTCTGTTTCCTTGATAGGTTGATGTTGGTGTTGTTCATTTCACACCTCTAATAGATCCTCTCATTCAGCAACCATTTAAACTTGTAGAGAAAGTTGTCAGATGCTTGTTTCAGTTTAGAAGGAAATACTGCAAGAGAGGTGTTGAGTAAGTACAAAATCAATTAAGTTGCACATATAACACAAGAAACCAAGTAATGTTGATTGAACAAGACACAAGTTGGTGGTGTTTGACAGTTGTCTGATTTCATGTATGCAAAATATGTATTCATAAGATAAAAGTTGTTGAACAAGGGGAGGATAAATGATGACTAGAATAATAATGTTCATGTTTGTGATATAAGGTGGAAACGATGAGTACTAATTTAATACCAGTAAATTTTGGAAGTGAGTCTTTATGCAACAGAATATTGAAAAAATACATAGAACATGTGATGCGGTATATCCGAATCCATTACATTATAGTAATTAACCTGCCATGGAGACATCATTCACTTGTATTGACAATGCTATGATTTAATTTAATTTTCAATAACAAGAGTTTCTTTAGAGGAGCGTGGTTATTGAATGTTGTTACTTCAATTGCTGTTTGTATAATTCTTTTGCAGAATTTTATTTCCCTATGATTACCAGGAATTAGTAGATGATGTGTTCGAAATGACCGGTGTTGATCCTTCAACAACACCGCAATGGCTCACAGTGGACGATTTTAATAGGTTATGTATAGCTTATAACGATATTTGTAGTCGATATCCAGGCATAATGAATTATAATTATAGGTAGCATGTAATTTGTACCTTGTTAGAATACCTGTAGTGGTATAGTGTATGTTTTATTTTTACACATGTATATATTTATGTCAGAAATGCCCTTTCCCACCGGTTGCTCTAATTTCCTTGCGCAGTATATTAGGGTTTCAAGTAATATACAAAGTGTTGCATATCTGCATGGAGATGTTGTATGTTTGTAATGTAACTTTATCAAGTCGCGAGTTTGATCAATATGGGCATTGTATATTAAAAACATTTGACACAAATGTACTGTATGCTGCGTGCTAATTGCTTTACTTTTGTAATGTCAGTTCCTTTCCTCGCATTCTCATTGTTTTGACACAGCCAATACAACTGCATAATATGTAACATGGCTAATCTCTACTAGACCTTGTGCGCCATATTACAGCACAAAGTGATTTTTTATACTACCTTCAGTAAAATAAATGAAATGTTATGATGTTATTTTTAACAATTATAGTTTAAAGTGTAACTATAGCCCAGTGTTTCCACCATCTTACATAATACCCGAAGGACAGGATATGCTCACTTTTTTTGGAAACACCAGATATCATTTCTTGGTCTTAACCTTGAGATTCATACATAATTCCATTGTACATTAATGTACTATTTTACACACTGATCTATGTACGTGTGTTAATGTTCTTTGTCACATGTTTAATGTTATATGTCCATCGATCTTTGTTGAAAACTGTTGTTGAAAGGTTATTTTATTGAGTGAACCAAACAAAGAAATAACTGTAAAGCCATTTATGCTGAAGTTCAAAGACCCAAAGTTTCAATTGTCATTCTTTGTGGAAGCTATGGATTTTTACTTTCAATTTCCAAGCATATTGTTAATTCTATTCGCATACATTTCAAGAGTGATTGAATGAGTGAAGGAAAGTAAGAGTGATTCCATTGCGATTTTTCTTGATCTGACTTTATCATATACAGGAAATTCTAGATTCCGTTTATTTAATTAATGAAATGAAGGTCATTTAATGAAATCTTCTTACAATTCCAGGACGTAGTAGGTTTGCTCATTTTACAACACAACTGGTATAATTTATTTTTCTGCATAGTTACGTAAATGTCCATTCAACCTGATTGTACAGCTGCATCTTCCCAGAT